AATTTATGGGTGCAAAGCACCTTCCCCATTTATATCCTTGCTGACTAGGTCTTCTCCATTTCTTTCCTTGCCATCTGGAATGTGCTGTGCATGATGCTCAGTCAGAAAAAAATGCATTTTTTCTATAGCACTTGGCAGGGAGCTGGGAATAAGAAACCTTTGTTGCCAGAATCCATGTTCTCTGTGGGGGTGGCTCAGATGGCACTGAATTAACTCGGAGACTTAAATTGAAAAGTATTTATGATAATTTTTATCGAGGGTGAGTAACTAACCCTACCTCAAGGGAAACTAATCAAATTGTCTTTAAGAACAGGAAAATGGGCTTCTCTGAATGGTCTTTTGACTTTGTTTTTTTGAAGACATCCATTTCTTCATTCCAGATTAATTCTTTTTCAGCTTATGCAGTTCTTCGTCCCCTGGAATCAAGACCTTAAGACAAAAGGCGTATCTTTATTCTTTCTACACTTTTTTTAATTTCTTGGTCAAATTAGATAGGGCATAGAATCATGGGGTGAAAGACAAAAAGATTTTAGGTGTCTGCAGTTTTAATGACTGTCAATAGCTGCTTGGAAAAGAAGGACTCCTGTTAATGTTTATTCTTACTAGAATACTCTTTTCTCTCAAATTAAAGTAAAAGACTAACATTAATGATCAATCCCTTACCTAGCCTGAGACCACAGCCTGCTGACCAGTCAGCACAGGTAGCTCCAAATCAGATGCAGCATGCACTATTGCTTGCATAGGATAACAGATGAGGACACGGAAGGGAACACAGAGGGGTATCATGATTACAAAGGAAAGTGGTTGTAACTGGGGGATGTGGGCATACATCTGCAGGAAACTCAGCTTCATCAGTTGTGTTGCTCATAGAACAGCTCATTGACCTTATGCCTATTAGTTCCTTAATTCTCCACCCCGCTCTGTAAGGACTCAAAGAACAATAGAGAGAATGTCAACCTAGTGAATCACTGTTGACTGTGTCCTCCACGTTTTCCTTATTTGGGCAGCCATTTTTGCTCAGGTATGCTGAAAATCCACAAAGTGGCTAGGTACTTAGCCCTCAGACACTCAGGCAGGTGTCTCAAAAGACATTTAGGAGACTTGCTTCAAGGTTTATGAACTAGATTTTTGAAATAAGTCTAAAGAATTTAGATGTGGGATTTGGGACCAAATTCCCTTAGGCTTCTTTAGTCTCCAAAGGCAAGATATTCAAACCATCTTGACCAAACTGGGATAATTAGAGTCCTTCATCTTACCCCTGCAGCATATCTATTATACTCATCTAATGAGTGTACTATTCAACCGCGTCAGGGATCTTTGTTAATTTAATGGGAATAAGGAATTAATCATCAGTATCTCTGCTAAGAAGTTTGTGTTTACCATCAACATGCCCAATAGATGTGCAGATGCTAGCCTGATGTGAAATTATAGTTAGACATCATCTTGCACTTGGCCAGTTCATTAACTCATGTCTTATAGGCCTTTGCAACTGCATTTGGCACAGGGTTAGAGAATTCAAGATGTGCTGGTATTTATTTACTGAATGTGGTTGGGGTAACATAACAAAGAAAGAGAAGCATAATTTGTGCTTCATTTTACTTACAGACTTGTAGCTTTGAGGTACCCTTTAGGTACAACTGCTTCTTTAGTACCATGAACCTTTGTCTCTCACTGATGTATTTAAGACAAAATCCTGTGTCAGGTGATGCAGTGGTGCCAGACAGCTCTACTAGTTGAGGAACTAGGTAAGCTGTGATTCTTTTCTTTACTTTTAGCAGCCATAAGAGCCTTAAAGCCTGCAATTCATTGGAGTATCATTTTTGTCTCTCTTCACAGCAAGGGTTGCATAAGTCAGAGGACTGCTTGTTTTCTTCATTTGTCATTTTTCCTCCCATATCTAATCCACAGAGCAGCAATACGGAGTCAAGCACCAAATAAGCCAAAGCAGTTCCTGTTAGTGTGTGCGCATGTGTTAGACTATGTGCTTTAAAAAAAGCACAAATACCAAACCAAAAGCGAAAAAAATCCCCGGTTCTATGGTCCACATTTGTCTTTGGGGGAGTGTATGAATGAATTACACTGTCGACTTTCTACTCAGCTCTTTTTCACTGGATCATATTTGAGAGGCTTTTTGGAAGAGATACTTCTATTTTGTCTTCATTGTTTGTCTCATTCCCTTGTTGTTCATCTAGTGCCAGCATTTCATCCAGATCCAACAAGAGGCTAATAAATGAATCCTGACTGTTCTGTGGCAAGAGCTCCAAGGTGGGCAAAAGCCAAGGAAGTCTTGGAACTACTAGCTGCGTTTAACAGTGTTTTCAACACTGTTTTGAATTGAGAAAGTCAGCTGAGAAGATTTATATGGTGGTTTATGAGAAATGTTGATATATTGATTTTTGTTCAAAGGAAAAAGACACAAACTACCTGACCTAACTGTTCACCTGTGAATATTTGCCCAGGAGGGTATTATACGAAATATAGAGATGTTATTTGGAATTTTTTCCTCCCCCCAAAAGGTGTTTAATCATCAGTGGCACAGTTACTCATAGGTACTGAAGCAGTGTTTTGGAACAACATCTAGAGGTAGGTAATCCATCAGATTAATTAAAAGGTTGAGAGTGTAAAACCTCTCGGCTGCTTTAAAATGTCATTTTCCAAGTCATTGGCAATTGTACTTTATGTCCTATTTGGGCTTTAGACCAGCTCCTTCATGTTGCTTTATGTGAAATAAATAAAAAGCCATCCTTGGATAGTCAGTTACATCTGTCACAAGTCTTACACTTACGTTCTTCAGAATTGATTTAGTGATGTCAGTGGGGTTACAGTGATGTGAGGTGAATAGGTACAAGGGCTGATTCAGGCCTCAGGTGTCCAGAGCACAAATCTGGTAACAAAGAACATCACTTCAGTTTTAGGAACGACCCCTCGCTCCCCATCTCGTTCTTACTACTGCTCCACTGATAATTCTTTCATGAAAGATCATTAGGTTTGTAAGCCAATTTGTTTCTGGTGTAACCCCACTTCGTGCTATGCAGTTACACCAGGGAGAGAGTTGGGACATTTTTGCTGTACTCGATCACATGGGCCATGTAAAGACAGCCTTCCCACGCAGAGTATTTGCACAACGCTTTCCTGGAATTTGAGGGTGAAACACATCTTGCCTGTTGTGCTTCAGGCATTTCACCCGATGAAACAGAGCTCTGCTTGCTTGCTCGATTGCATGAGCTGGATTAGATCAGCAGTGACAGTCTTCCAATTGTATCACTGCACGTTTGTCTTCATCTGTACCTGCTGACCATTGTCCAAGACAACATACTGGTCTGGAGGGACCTTTGATTGTCCCACATGAGCTATTTTTGTATTTTTTGAGCACCTGGTATGCTTTTGAAAAAAACATTCGGGAATGGGACTGCCAGGAAAATTGACTTGGAGATGTTTGAAAAGGATTGCGAAGAAGATTCCTGAAGTGCAGCTACTGCTGATAAATTGTGATGACAATTATCGCTGTTTGAGAAACATCACTGTGATCAGCTTTTATGTGGCCCATTAGGCTGAATGGACCTAAGCAGTTTCTCCCCTAAGTATGTCACCCAAGGATCCTTTTACTGCTTGTAATTATCCCTGGGTTGGACCAGATTGATGAAGCATTGCCATGTTCCCTGTTTTGTCCTTACTACGTGGGATGCTAGAGCTGTTTCAGCATAAGCGGAGGGACTCTTCCCCTTCCCTCCTTGGGGTATAAACAAAGAAACTTAGTTTGGAAGTTCCCCAGGGATTTTGCCTGTTTGCAGTTGAGGTCACATGGAAGCAAACCAATTGCTTGTTATCGGTTGCTGAAATCAGGGTTGATCCCCAGCATAAACAAGGATGAAGGCTCTTCAGCCTCCCAAGAAGTGGCAGACTACTATTTTTTAATAGACTATTTATCCATAGTTTGAAAGCTTTCATTGATTTATAACAGTTTTCTTCATTGCATCTATCCCAAGCTCTGGGCTGTCATACCCTGGGGGGTTTCTTTTCCCCTCTTTTCTATCTCCCTGAGTATTTTAAATACATGTCTTCATTCCAAATAATCTTGTAAAGGGAATTTCATCTTCCTGGTTACTCCTCAAGTCAAATTCTGCCTTTGTCCTTTTGTAATCAGATGCTGAAACAAAATCTATACACAGGCTGCTGGGGAGACAATCAGTTTGAGGCACAGTTGAGGGAAATTAATGCACAGAAAGAAATAAATGGGTCATGACTCTAGAACAGATACAATCCTTTTAATATGCTTCAGTTATTGTAGTTATGTAAAAGTGTGTGAGAGAAACACAATGCAAACTGCTGACAAATGGAGATGACAAATGATGAGGTGTTTATTTATCCAAGACCTGATCTATATATTTACTTGCTTAATCCCTGTAGAAGATATATTTTGTTGATAAAATCAGCCAAAACTTCCCCAACTGTCTCCCTTGGTCAGTATCTAGTGGATTGCTGGTAGCAACTGAAATTTACCCTCAGTGGTGGGTAAAGTCAGTGGAATGTCTCAGTCCCCAAGGGGTTGTGGTTTGTTTTGTTTTGTTTTTTGAGGTTTTGTTTTTTTTTTTTTTTTTTTTTTGTTTCAAAAAAACCCAAACAACCATTTTTTTTGCTACCTAGGTTGTGGGTAATGAAAATAGTATAGGTTACTACATTTCAGTGCTTTCAGTTGATCAGATCCATCTGTCCTATTTGCCTGAATAGCTGTCTTGGTAATGTGTGTAGCTGGTTTTGTCATAGAGAACTCCTATCCCTTATATAAACTATACCTTCTCTCTAATAGAGTATCATTTTTGCTTATATAATGCATGCAGTCACACAATTTATACTGTACTTCATGTTTCACTTCCTAGCATTCTCATGTCTTTTCTTCCTAAGTGAGGCTATGAGTTTGTTTGCTTTTTGGTTAGTCTTAAAACTATGAAACTCACAAGATTATCTGTTTATACAGGCCTATCTTTGTTTTTTGCTTTCAGTTTCAGAAAACAACACAGCATCACAAGCTGCAAAAAACACAGGAATAGCCCTGCTATCCTGAGATGAGCACCTGCTTTTCATTCCTCTATTTCTTTGAAGTGTTCCAAGGTTGCCAGGTGAGTCATTTAATATATCATTCAATATGACAGGATTTAAATGGATGTGCTTGTTATGATATTTGGCCAATCTTTAAACAGAGGGGGGATCCCATTAAAAAATTCTCTCATGTAGCAGGTGTACATAGGCGTTTGAGCTGAAATCTAGAGCTCTGAATGACTTTGGTAATGAATGTTAAGAACTTCATTTGAAAAAATACATTTAATTGCACTCATAATCATTGGGGGAAGAAACAGACCTACCTAATACTTATGAATTAAAGACACGTGCTGGAAATATTCATACCGCAGCCATGAAATAAAACACACAAACAAGAATAAGTAGGGGAAAAGAATAGCATGCAGTCATCAACACAGGCTGTATTAGGACGCCTAGTGTACAAGAGGGACACATTAACATTGCACTACTATTTTTTAAGGTCTTAAACCTTGACTTTGACAGCTGAAAAAAAAACCCCATATTTTTTAACATAAATAATGACAGAAAAACCTTGGTTTGCATTTTGAGGTAGAACTGAGAAACAAATGTCGCATTATAGCATTTTTCTATGATACCTCCATGGAGCTAAGCCAGGTAACCCCATATCCTGGCCTTTGTCGCTGGAGCCCACACTCATTCCTGTTTCACAGCAGTGCTAGACTGGTATCCTGTGTCTCCTTCCTTTCTCCACCACTGCCTGGGTCCTCATTCTGGCCTCTGACCAGCTGGTTGTGAGCTCTCCTCTTCCCTTTTGGTGTAGCGTATTCTTCTACCAGCTAACCTGATTCTGGTCAGGTGTTTTTTACTGGCTTTACTGGTTTCCAACTCCAGTCTCTTTGCCCAGGTGGTTGCAGTTTCCCTCCCTTTCTTTCACTCATTTGTTATTTATTTCCCCCCCTTCTGGTCTGTTTTTTGGGGCTCTATTTTTTTGCCCCCAGTGTTTTTGTCCAAAAGCTGCTTCTTCCATGCTGGCTAGGAGTGAGAAAGTAGGCAACTGCTGACATAGGTGCTGGAAGATGAAGTCTCTTGCAATCCTAACCCTGATCCAGAGTAATCAGGACCCTCAGCTGTAGAGAAAAAAAAAAAATAATCTTTATTTTTCCTCTGTATCTGCACCGAAGGATTTTTAGTTGTTCTTTGGGGAAGGGGTATGAACAGTCTGAACACATTTGGGCTCTATTGAGCTGAAAGATGCTCAATGAAATTACATCAGGGATATAATTATTCTATGTATTCAGCTAGCAGCTTTTGCTAAAAATGCCAGAAAGATTGAAGGCAAAATTAATTATGTAGAGCACAGTAAGTCTTCTCTTACTCAACACCTCCATAGCCTATATATGGCTCCCTTTTTAGGATTCAGCGTGGGCTTATTGTAGAGCTTAATGGCTGAGTTACCCAATCATAATGAGCTACCATGTGCATCAGCTGAGCATGATAAAGCACTCCTAATGTGTCTACAATGCAAGGTATTTTAATTTTGACGTGAGTGTTGCAGGAAGACACAGCACTTTTCCACACTAACACATGGACAGACATAGGTGGGTGGTAGTGCAGTTGATGGAATAAAACTCCTCACAAGTGGTGACATATTTCTTACTGGGTCCTAAATATAAAAAAACAACTCCTATCTTATATTTGGCTGGCTTTATAAAGCCAGTTCTTGTTTATATTAGAAAATATGTTAAATACATTTTTGTGCCCTTCGTAAAATACATAGTTCTTTCTTTCTTTTTAGGGTGTCTCAGTGAAGAAAGTGGTTCTGTTCCGCTTACAAGGTAAGAACTGCAAAATTACAGCATGAGTCAATTCTTCAGAGTAAGTATTTAGGCACCCTCTTAATTTTTGCCATGGAGAGCAGCTCCTCAGATGCCAGTGGTTAGACATCAGATTCCAGAACTATTCAGCTGTCTTACCTCATTTTGGCCCCTCTACCTTTGTAAGGATCCTACTTTTAACAAGTGCTTTCTAATTCCCTCTTCTCAGAAAGAGCACAAATATGTAGCACAGAGATCCACTTTCTTTCATTATCTTTAGGCCACTTCTCTACTGGTATTCCTTTTGTCGTTCTTTCCCTACCCTACTGTTTTCCTTCTGAGTCTCAGGATTGGAGACAGCCAGAGTAATAACAGGAAAATTATTACGGAAGCACAGAATACCTGGGATTGGGACCTTATTGCATGACGTGTATAAGTCTAGAATAAAACCTGTTTCTGTTTGGCAGGGTTGGTCTAGCTCATGAAAGGTTTTCTTCTGTGCTCACCACTGCAATATCTGTGTGTTGGCAACCTGAAGAAACAGTGACAAAACATGGAGGAAGCTCAGGAGCGACGAACTGACGTAGTTTCCCAAATCATGTGGTTGTGACAAACCGGTTGGCTTGTTTAGACTGAGGCTTGAGGAAGTGAGAATGGAAAGGACATTGGGAATAGGAATAGCCACAGATCATTGTCTGTCTGGCTGCAACTGTTGACACCATCCTTGGCTAGGAATGGCATTTCCATCTCTTCTGTCTTTGTGCATCAATTTGCCTTCTTTCACAACCCTCTTCTGCCAAGCACTAAATTTAATGATTGTTCTGGGGAAGGAGATGTTTATATTCTTTGGCTTCTGAGCCCCTCAGGTTAGTCTGGGGCTCTGTCCATTGCTTCTGGTCCTCCTTTGCACTGTGGTAGCACTTCTTGAGCAACATGTAAATACCTATACGTTTGTAATGGTCCCATTTCTCTGTTTCATGGTTTATAGCATACTCTTTGCCAGATGCAAAGGGGATGGTGGTTATCACCCATCATGGTGTGGGTTGCTGGGGGGAGGGCCTGTGATCCAGGTCTTGCAGAACGAAACATGTGCTGCTTTGTACAAGGAACCCTCCCTGCGAGTTGAGTGCGAGGTTGAGATTACCGCAGGTATATTCCTCAGTAACTTTAATCCTGCATTTACAAGTTCAGCACTGTTTACGTGCGAGGCAAATATGTTCCCTCAGGAGGTGGGGGAAAAAAAAATATCCATGCTTACTGATAAAGAAGTACAAAACAGTTGTTGGCACAATGATTTCTGAATCTATTGGGAGTCCTATCATGCACTGTTATAATAAGATAGCTGGAAGATAGTAACTTTGCTCTTGATGGAAAAACATACTGTAGAGCTTAATGAAATTTCGTCATGCACTTTTAATTGATTTCAGCAAGGGAGACCTTTTCAAAGCAAATACAGCTATTAATGTAATTAGTGTTTCAGCTAATATACTGAAATTATATTTGTATATCAATATATCAGACAAATATTTGTACGAGATAGGCATTTCAATGACTACTCAGCTGAAATGAACAAATTAACTTCTTTGATTACAAGGGCCTTATTTCCTACAGCTGTACTTTGCAGTTCATTTTCCAGTGTGAATGCTTAAATTAGGCTCTTAAGTCCACAGTTAATCTGAAATAATTGGCTTTTTTTTCCCCAAAACTGATCTGGGCAGTAGAACAACTGAGCAATACTGCTTGTTGAGTCTGCAGTCTGGTTTTCGTGAAGGCTGTGCTAATTGATGTAAGTCACTGGGTCCATGCAGAGCGAGGCGAGTGCCTTTTGGAATGGGGTGTTGGTTGGCTTTGTGCTATTACCCTTTCTGGGTAAGATGAAACCGAGTGATAGGTGCACAACATGACATGTTCTGGGACCTTGTTCTTCTGACTGTCTAGCAAGTGAATCAAGTTTCTTTTTCTTTTAAGCAATCAAGATGGTGTTGGGTATCATACCTGGATGGGGCCAGCACGAGTCTGAGACCTGGGTGCTCAGAGGCATTCCAGAGTTTGCTGCTTTGGCTAATGTATCTGTTTTCACCAACCTCAAATGCTACTGAACAGCTTTCAGTGGACATGAATACAAGGAAAAATAATCATGTGCACTAAATTGTAGGTCCTCACTTGGCTTTTGTGTCGACTTTTGTGCAGAGCTCTATTGAGACTGGAATGAGTTTGATTATACGCCCATTCAAATCTGTGGCAAAGCTCTCAGTGGAGTGCAGGATCAGGCACATAAGTCTGGATTCAAGGGAGGACCTATATTCTGCAGCTGTCTGCCATGAACCACTTTGAGAGCTGTCTAGACCTTTGGTGTCTGGTGCTTTAGAGCCCTGTATAATAATTAAGGAGACAGATGCTTCACAATGGGATCCACAACAGCCAGCAGGCTCAAGAAGTGCGAGGTACCAGGCTAAAAGAAACACCAAAAACATGAATGTCTGAAATCTTACCGTTCTCTTGGGCTAGGGCACCAGACACAATACTCCAATCAAACATGACTCCATGCACCCACCTGATATCCTGAAGAGGTAGGTCCAGAGACCTTAAGTCTCTCTTGTTGATAGGTTTCTACATCTTTTGCCCCAAAATGCTGAAGATGACTCATTCCTCTCTTAAAATTTGATGGAAAGAGCTGTATTCTCACATTGTATGTAACACCTTAGTGGCTGGAACTCATCCAAGGTATGGCAGATCCAAGTCCATTTCCCCACTGTGCTTGAAGTGTTCCTACCATTGTCTCCCATCTCCAAGGGAAGTGTGGGAATATTCTCCACTGTTCCTGCAAAAACTATTCCACTAGTTGGGCGATAATTCAAGGGAGTGATAGAGGGCACGTAGTGAAGTTTGTCTTTGTAACCTCATGGTTAGGGAACTCAGGCAGGGAGGAAGAATCTGGGATTTTGATCTTTTTTTCTAGGACTGTTCACGTATTTTATTGAGTGTTGTAAAACTCCAGGGAACAAGAGCCAGATCTCAGGGCTCCCCCTCTCAGGTAAGTAAGTTCCTTTAAAGTCCCACTTTTGAGACTCAAATCCTTTATTAAATCACTAACAGTTTTGGAAGTCAAAGATCTTTCATAAGGCTGTGGATCTTTCCTGTACTTCTGCCAGGTGTACTTCCTGGAAAGGAATGGATTCCATCTTTGGACAGAATGATTACTTACATTTTTCTACCCAAATTCAATTTTCATTTTGAATCTTCTTTTGAGTTCTGTGTTAAAGTCATTCTACCTCAGAGGGAATTAACTGTTATGTTGAACTTTAGTGTAGTTATGGTAGTTCTCATGGGTCCTCTGTTATGACTCATAGTATCATGTTCTTTCTTTTGTGTCTAGTAAGTAGTTGGCAAATTCTCCCCAGCTACAGCATAAAAACCCTAAAATGTTGTACTTAAGCTGGACAGAATTTAAGAACCACAGCTGCTTGTGACTGAGGTTACTGCCGTCATGGAATACGCTAGATGGGACTGCATAAAGAGGGAATACCTGATGAAAATGTTGGATAGAGATTGGAATGAAAGTAGATGAATAGGAGAATTTAGAGTGAACATATCTGTACAGGAGCCTAAAAGAAATAGTCCATGCTGGGACTTCTATTCCTTTTACATTGTGCCAGCTAATCTGTTATTTCTACTGAGAAAGGTTGGAGACAAAATTTTCAGGAGCAGTGAAAATACAGGGGCTTTGCTGTGTAATGAGAGTCTTGCAGTGGAATTTACATTTGCTTGAATTACCAGTCTGAAAACTCATTGCTCTGGTGCATGTGATAGAAAAGAGAAATTGCAACTAAGAAAATGTACATTAGCCAATTGATTTTGCAATGAGTTCTAATATCTGAGATTGCTAAAAATGAAAAGCAATAGACGTCAAATTATATTTATTTGTAGGTTTCCCTATCGCCCTCATTTCAGCTTGTACAGCAAAAGGAAATATCAGTATGAGCTTCTATTGGGAGTCAGTTTCTAGTTGATGTCCTGTAGTAGAGATGAAGTTCTGAAGTTGCAGATGCTTTGGAGGCTCTTCATTTTGTTTCTTAAGAAAATATTTCACTGCAGTTGAAGAAAAGGGATGGAAATATTTTTCTAGTCTTATATTTTGCTGGTTTCACAAAAGCCTACATTTTGACTTGGGGATATGGACCTTTAAATGGAGTAAACTACCGTCATTATTAAAAACACCTTCCTGGAAAGAATTCAGAGATGTTCAAGACTACTCTTTCTTTTTTTTTTTTCTTTCTTTTTCCCCTGGCACAGTATTCTAATTAACTCACAACCATTTCTTGAGTAATGTTTTTAAGGTCACTAGCTTGGCTGGGTATTTGGTAATAAAAATTACACCCCGTGTCTGCAATAGGACCACTAATTTAAAATAGCCATTTGATTCAAACTGACCTGTTTGCCAGCATAACTAATGAAGTGTCACTTTAATATTTAAAGTACTGTTCTTTCAAGGTAATTGCTATTTACTGGTAATTCTTCTTCATTTGATGGTTTATTAGGTACCTATAGGAATTTAAATTGGGCAACTGAAAAACTGTAATTGTCTAACTAGCATAATACTTGGCTATAAATATGCCTGGGCACCTGTTTAAGGAAGTTTTTTGTTTCTGTTTTTTCCACTGTGAAAGAATGGGCAAGGCTGATTCGGGAAGAAGATTTTACCTATTAATAAGATATTAGAAAAGAGCCAGCAGAAGGGGGCTGACATCCTAAGGAATGCAGGGACTTGTTTTGGCTAATTCTGCACCCACACGTGGGTGTCAACATTCCTCTCAAACATGGCAGGGCTTGGCCTCTCCTCATGGCAGGGGGAATAGATTAGGGGGAGAAGGGAGAGGGAGAACAGCCAGGAAAGAACTGATCTGAAAAGTAATCTCAGAAAAGGATTAAACCCAGCATTCTCTAGTTGGGAAAAAAAAAGTAGCTGGTAAAATAAATACATCACTTGCTTGTTCCTTTGCTATTCTGGCTTGTTAGTGAAT